CAGTCCTTCATGAAGAGCCTTCTCAAACTGTGCAATTCACCAATCTGTGTTGGCAATTCATTGATGCTTACACAGTCAGATATGTTAAGATGTCGTAACTTAACAAGTCTTCCGATGGTGCTGGGCAGTTCTAACAAATCAATGCAGTAACTCAACCTTAACGTTTCCAAATTCACCAGATTGCCAATACGAACTGGGAGGGTAGAAAGCTTGTGGCAATTGGTGATACTAAGTTTTCTCAGTTGGATGATGTCACAGAATCCATCAGGGAATTCCTTCATATCATTGCAAGATTCGATGTCAATCTCCACCAAATTTGGAAATGCATCAGAAATATTGATGGGGCAGTTCTGAAAAGCCTCGTTGATATCACACATAACAAAAGATATCTTCTGTAGATTCTTCAGTTGTTGATCGTTCATGCTTAGTGAAGGGATTGAAATCTTCTCTAATCGGATTCTCTTCAGATTAGATAAGGAGCTAACATGTGAAAAATTGCTCACTTCTGAAGGGAAAAAACCGTAACTAGTGACCACCAAAACCTTTAATTTATCCATCTTCTCCATGAATTCAGGTAATTTATAATTCTTTGACTGAAAATTTAGAATCAGAGCTTCAGCTTCGGGTAGTTGAATATTGTGCCATCTAGATAAGAACACCTCATCTGCAATCACCAATCTATATAATGTTACTGGGTGGGCTAGGAAGGAAGCACTTAACGTTATTCCTATATCCACTACGTGCATTTGACCCTGAACTTAAGTTTGTAAGGGAGTGAAATAAGTAAGGACATTGATTTTAATAACCTGTAAAGACAGAAAAGAGCCGGGCACTTATGGGCTGCTTCTGTCCTAACCACCACTGCGGAAATTTATTTTGTCTTATGTCTGCAAACAGTCTTCTCCTTCCTACTACTGATTCCGAGCTGCTCTGAAGGATAGTCAGCTCTCTCAAAAGATCATGCTGTGTGACAAAATACCCATTATAGAAGCCATCTTCTTCGGTTTCTTCTTTCCTGAAAATGGACAAAAGTGCATAAACATCATTATAAAAGTTTAATGGAAGCGAAGTGAGATATGAAGGTGTCGTACCCAAGGTTGATAAGATTAAGCAGATTTTGGGAGAAAAGTCTATGGAGGCTGGCCATAGCGTGGATCCCATCTT